AAAAAAAATTGTAACCCAAGGAGGCCACTAAACTGACTGAAAATGTTTGTTTTCTTCTATTTATCTTTTAAACATTGTTGGAAGTAACAATGTAAGTAAAAGTATCTGTGTGTGTTTAATATTAAGAGTATTTAGTTTTCAATAATAATTCATTATTTATTTTATTAAAATAACATTTAAAATTACTCAAATTTTTGAGTAATTTTAAATGTTGACTATCTAAGATTTTGATTTGCTAAGTTAACTTAAAAATTTTGGATATCTATATGTTTAAAAACCAATTTTTTTCTATCATGCAAAGCTTATTGCAGTTTAAGATTGTCCAATTTTTTTTTTCTTTTTTCTTTTGCAGGTTCAGAAATTATCCAAAGGAGAAGTGCTGATGGTTAACATTGGTTCTTTATCAACAGGGGGAAGAGTAGTGGCTGTAAGAGCTGATTTGGCTAAAATTACTTTAACAACTCCAGTTTGTACAGAAATAGGTGAAAAAATAGCCCTTAGTAGAAGAGTTGAAAAACATTGGAGGTAAGATATTTTTATAATAATAATGATATAAAATTTACAAGAAAATTAATTTAAACAAAGAATTAAACACTATTTTTGATAAGAAAATGTATATGTTGTAGCCATATGTTGAAATTTGCATTTTGAGTGCTAGCACATTCAGTAATAGACATATATTTCAGAATCTGTCTGGTTTTTCTGGTCATTTCTTCAAATGCTAACCTGGTTTCTGCAGATGTTGAAATAGGTTTATATTTCGGCATCTGTCTAAAAAACTATGTATTTCCTGTAATGGCTAACAGCTTATTAGCAAATGGTATAAAATGAAACAAGGGATAGTTTTTGCACTTTTATATGTTATAACTTTTTTGAATTTGAATTTTGTTAAAAATATATCTTTTTAATAAATTTATATTATTTTGAGTATAGTAAAATAATTTTAGTAAATAATTATTTTTTGTAAATCTAATAACACAGAAAATAATATATAAATTATTTTACATTTTGAATTAAATATTTAATGTCTGTAATATATATATATATATGAAATATAGTATAGGAGCAACTTAAAATTGCTAATACTTTTTATTCAAAGAAAAAGTTCCAAAATATTTTGAGTGTATTTGATCAGATTTGTATTCGTGAACTTCTTGATAGCCATTGTTAATGAATTTGCATTTACTTGAATATTTTATTCAAGTAAATGCAAAATGTTGAGAGTCATAAAATTTCATCTCCTCTTGTTGATAAATTGAGCTTTGCTTGTGGAATTTTATCTTATTGACACAAGCCGTGCAAAAAATACAATCTGCATGAAGTGTGACTACAGTTGATCTACAGGATTGTCAAATATCCCAAACAAATTGTTTATTTGAAGAACTTGTGGTTAGAATCAATAAAGCAATGTAGTCAAATGGCATTTTTGATAGATTATATGTTGACAATTGCATTTTTTTCTACCTTTATAATTGTCATGCTTTGCATATAGCTTTTAGCTCAATAGGATTTGCATGTTAGATATACGATGTCCATTACATTTTTCTTTTACACTAAATCAACCTTAATAAGTTTACTAATGGTGGTACCACCATTGTAGCAACACACTTACTGTAAAGCCATGCAAGACATACTACAATCCATGTAATACAGAGATGTTTGATTGCATTTATATAGTAGTGTGTGTTTATTCATGCTTGTAAATGGAGTGAACTACTGCATGTTCTTTGTAAGCACCCAAAATCCCATTTTAAGTCTATGGTAGAGTTTTTTCCATGATATTCCTTAAGGATACAGTTTGAACAGAATTTCAAATAGCTTACAACATTCACTGATTTGGACTTGATGTCCATACCAAATTTGGCCATGATCAGTCAAACAGTTTTGGGGAGGTTATTTAAATCTAATGATATTTGAATGAAAGAAATGAGCTAAGTGAATAAAGTGAGTGATGCTCAAATAATAATAGATGTTTCATTTTAAAAATATATATGCAGTAAAACCCCTCTCAATTAACCATGACTCTTCATTATTCGAGGTAAACCTGGAAGTGAATAAGCTACTTTTCTTATAATATACAGACATCCTTCAACTTATGATGTTTCAACCTATGATGGCCAATGTGAGTGAAGCAGAAACATAAAAACTGTTAGAATTTGAATTCAAGCCATTTGCATCTTATAGCATCTCCATCCAGCAACTAATATTCCACCATCTCCTTTAATTTTTTTTTTTTTTTGTTGTTGTTTTATAATAAAATTTCATTGCATACTTTTCTGGTAGATGTCATGATATTTGAAAGATTACTGTATTTAACATTAGCATAATATACTTTTGCACATTGTTTTATTTCATTCATTCTTTCTTTCCTTTTTTCTGTACACTTTATGATACAATATGCAATGCTATGTGCTGTATTACGTTTCATATAGCCTTTTTTTTTTATTGATTTACTGTATTTATTTTTGACATATGATGTTTTTTCAGAACATAATCCCATTTAAAACCCAAAATTTGACTGTACTGTAGTACTTTACCTTTTTTTTCTTTTTTTTTTTCCTATGATTACTAAGATTTTTCAAGCCCACTATGGATTGGTTTGACAAGACCCATAATGAGGGCAGAAAAGTGGCAAAGGACAGACAGAACACAGCATATTTCGGACAAGCCACCCAATTCATTTTCCATAATGATGCAGTCATATCAGCATCATTTTTCATAATGTTGCTGATATTGATTGATTGTAGAATATTGCAACAAAGGAAGAGGAGTCTGTCTTTATGAAACAAACTTTAAAGAATTTTTTAAGGAAGAGTTTAAAACAATAACATGTATCACAAACTGATTTGTTTCTGTTATCTTTTATTATTTAACTTTAATGTGAGACAAATCATTTATGTTAAAATGTAACTACAGTAATACACATTTTTATTCTTAAATCTATTATACATACATATTAGCGGTATAGTATATGATGTAAAAAAGTTTTTCTTATGTACGATTAAATTCACTGAATATATATAAAGAGATTTAAGATGATCTATAAAAATCTTTTATATTTGTAATTTTTAATCCAAAATGGCATTGGCCATTCATTTTATTTCAGTTTTCAGTTGTCAGAGAGAGAATTGTCAGTTCACATTACTTTAGATAATTTGAGTTTGAGTTTTACTGTATTTTATTAACAGCTTAGAGCCATTTAAAATATTTATATATTAAGAATAATACATTAGAAAAAGTTGCAAAATAAAAACATAAAAATAAGTATTTATAAAGGTATCAAACTGATTTTTTACTTTTAATATATATTATCTTTAACCTAATCATAATAAATATGTAAGTTTAATTTTTTTTTTTTTAATAATACTGACTGAAACTGAAAATATTTGATGTTGGAATTAAACTAATAATAGGTTAATTAACATACTAAATCAGATTATTAAAACAAATCATGGCAAATCCTAACTTAATATCATCAGTTGGTTTTTGGAAACGGTGACATTAAGCAAAATGACATATAAAACCAATTTTAATCCAGGCTAATTGATATAAGCAAGATGTAATTCAGTTAATATTATTATTAGTGGATTGTGTTTGTATCTTCCAACATTTATTTTTCACCTTGAAGAATCAGTTTTATTGTTCCTAAAAGAAATTCAACAGTAATAATTGTAAATGATTAAAAATGTACTTCTTTCCTCAATGACATTATAACAAAATGATGTTAAATGAAACTTGCTGTATTTAAACTACAAATAGTATTTAAATTTTTGAATTTTTAATAGAAAATTAATTTTCTAATTTATAAGTTTTATTATAAGTAAATTTCAAATAAATTTGATATAATCTGATATTTATTTGGATAAAAAAAACTCTCTCTCTCTCTCTCTTTATACCAGAAAAAATTCTTAAGGAAATAATTAATCTAGGACAATGTTGGTAACCCCATTTAGCACACTAGAAGAGAGTGATGTTATCAATATAAATTGTGACCTGATGATAGAGAAAATACTAATCAAGTTGTACAATACATCTGGTTCTGTTGTTTGAAGGAAAAAACTGATAAAATATTTAATTTTCTTCATTTTCAAATTTGAATTAAACTATTTAGAAATATATTCTTTTGGAAATGCATTTTAAATTTAATTCAAGTTTCAATTCTTATCTAATTATGTTAAAATATATATAATTTAAAGATAAGAACAAAAATAATTTATAGTCTTCTTAATATATCCTTCTCATCTACATTGAAACACAATAAAAAACATTAGAAGAGTTGATTTTTTCCAGCATGAAACAGTAAAGCATGGCAGTTGGGTGTCAGAATTTTGTAAAAATTATATAACAGTAAAAAATTGCAGGTTAATGGATTCTGTCTTGTAGGTATGAGAATGATACACTAAGAAGACTATTTGTTTTCATATTGTTTATATTTTTAAATAATTTTGAATGAAAATTAAATACACCCTTGACTTACAGCTTGTATTTCAATCACAATCTAATAAAAATAAATAAATAGTGATTATATTTAAATATGTAAAAAAATTACAACCTAAAATTGTCTAGGAGTTACTGATAATAAATCTATTGCTATGTGATCAGTCATCCATTAGATAAAGTCTTTGGCAAATAATTTGTTCGTAACCAATTGTTATATTAGCAATTTGCAAGCATTTTGTTGTTTCTGAAGTAATTTGCATATAATTGAATGCTTGGTGATTAATTGACAACAAGATCATCATTAAGAAGGTGATGAATCATTCCATTAATCATTTTTTTTAACATTATATATTTTAAATTTTGAATAATTAATGTCAAACTTCACTAAAATAAAATGATGATAACAAGATTATTATATTGATTTATAATGCTTTTTGATTGTTTTTTAATCTTTTAATACAAAAAAAATTTATTTAAAATTATAAATATAATTTATAATCATTATATAAACTTGCTTTGTAAGTTTTTAATTTAGATTTTGATTTAACATTGATGACGATCACAATAATTGAGTATTAAATTGGCAATATTATTTACTGTAGTCTGTACATACAATTATTTTTTATTTAGGAAACTATGTCATTTATATATGACATAGGATATAACTGGTTGAATACATTAATAAATGTCATGATAATTTATTATTCATATCATTTCTGGTTTAAAACTTGTCTTCCTAATTATCAATGTATGAAAGTTGAAACCAAATATAAGATAAATATATTTAATTTTTTTTTAATTGGAAATCCACTGTTAGAAGACTGGTTTGCTCAGGAATATTGGATAATGTTTCTAGGAATTCTGATCCACAGATCATGACTCCCATGAACTTTGCCTGAGTTATATACGGCATTTCATATATATTAATCTTTTCTGTATATATTGAGTAATGCTAGTTTTTTTAAAATTTTCTCTTAAATTGATCCAAGGAACAGCTTGACTGCAACTTCAATTTGTGTAATATAATTAATTTCCAAGAAAATGCAGCGTATATTTGGACTGTGTTTAAATAGTAGTTTTAACTGGTTTTATTTACATATCAAATTTGTCACAAGTAATTCTTAATTCTCTAAAATGTAAAATGTATATCAGAATAATTAAATTGATAAATAATGATTTGTAATTAATTAAGATTAGTTATAACTGTTCAAATGTTTATTCTTGTTATACATGTTTTTGGTCTTCTATATTTTAATTACTATATTCAAAACCAGAGGGAGCCACCTAAAAAGACGTTTTAATTTATCATAGTACTGCTTTTCTGTAATTACATATTATTTGAATTACAAAAAAGGCAAACCTAAATTAATTTTATCTTTTATGATTTTTAATAATGTTTATATTTGAAATATATTATAAATATTTTGTTTTTTTTCTGGTTTTTCTCAATAACATTAAAAAAAAAAAATACTTTTGATATTTTCCTAACAAACAAATTTTTAGTTAAATATATATTTTAGTAATAAAATTTCTTTTTATAAATGGATAAAATCAGTTGTTGATTTTCTCTGAAAGGTAACTTAAGGCAATGAGAATATGTTTTAATTTTCATATGACTTTGTATGGCATTAATGAATATGATTATTTTGACAGCTTGCATTAATTTAACCAAACAGATTACTACTTTTAATATTAAAACCAATATTTAAAATTTATAAGTCACTTTTTAATGCACTTATTTTAAATGCTATCTAATATAACTTTAATTTATTTGTTCATAAATGAATATTTTCTAACAAGCAGAATCTTTAATTCTTTCTAAATATAATTACTTTTCCTGTCGAAATATAAAATATAACAGTAAATATAAAATAATTGTATTTAGTAATATTTAACAAAATATCAATTAGTTTGATAGTTTAAGTGTAAAAAGTAATGTAATTATCATTTACAGTCATCAATAATTCTTTTTCCTTGTGCAAATTACTTTTGTAGTTTCAAATTCATGAAGCTTATCGTCTTAAATATAATCTATCATTCATAGGAAAAAAACAAAGTTGCCTTCAAGTGAATAGATCACATCTTAATACATGTGATCCTATCAGCTTATTCCAATTAAAATGAAAGAAAAAATAACAAAGAAATTTATTTAATCATTGTTATCTCTTGTATTTTTTAAAATAAATGTAGTTAAAATAATGTATGGATTATTTAAAATTTGAAAGTTTAAAAATTTTTTCTGATGTTAATGCAGCAGTAGAGACAATGATGAAAGTTATATCAATCATGAGAAATGAATAATAGCAAAAAAATATAACTTCATTAACATAATTTTGATCAGGCTATCATTATAGATAAAATCATGATATATATCAAATTATAAGTTATGATCATTGTTAAGAGAAGTCAAATGTTTCTTCGGACAAATCTATTTGATGGAGTTAATATTTATCAGGTCAAATGCATTAAAATGAACTTATTTAAAATATTTTATTTAGATTTTTTACTGCTATAATTTAGATATTTTTGAACACTTTATTTATAAAAAGGTTTTTAAATTTCAGATTGATCGGATGGGGTGAAATTCGTCGTGGAGCAACTATCAAACCGTCAACATAGAAAATATTTTTCCAGAAATTAAATTATCTCTGAAAGGTATTAAGAAAAACATTTGTAAACACAAAGATTTTGAATGAAATAAATTGGTGTGTCATGTCCATTCACATTGTTACTTTTTTAAAAAAAGGATGTTTAGAATAAAGAAAATGCTAAAAAATAGTTTGTTTTGGAATTTTAAAATAGTTTCTTGTTAAATTTTATTAAGGTGGAAGATAATGCACAATATTTTTCTTATCAGCGCTGCTCTCGATACTTTCATAAACAAAACTGTCATGATTTATCTTTAGCAAATCAAATATTATCTAAGACTGGTAAGTCCATAGTCTGATTTAGATAAGCAAGAAATTTAAGTTTACTTTTAAAATTTGAAAGCAATTAATTAAGATGATGTAGGCCATTGTGAAGTGATTAGTAAAGCACATAGTTATTTTCCTTTGAGAAGGAAGATGCCGACAAAGGAGAATCGGCCGTCGGCTACTTTCAAAGATTTTGATAAGCAAAAGAATCAAACCTCCACTTTACATGGGCTTGAGCAAACAATAAATATAACCTTAAAAGTACTACAAGTAGATAAAATAGAATTGATATTGCACTGCTATGGAGCCACTACATTTTTTCAAAAGTTGTTTATCAAAGATAAAGATGAGGAAAAATGAAACAGTTCCCAGAATCTGTAGTCCATTTTTACTCTAAGATTGATGGTAAACTAGTTGGAAGATGTAAAAAGTGGCTAGAAAGAAAATTGACAGTTTAATGTCTCCATAAAAAGTGGTGGTACATGATGGGCTAAGTAATAAATAATGTACTGGCCAGTGTATATCAAACAGTTGTAACAATATGAAGTTAATAAAATTTTATTTTTGTTTATTATATACAACTTTGTTTTTAATAATTGAAACTTCGATTTTAAAATATTTTAAATGGGGTTAAAAAAAAAACTTTCAAGAATGAAAACTAAATGTTAATGTGCTGGAATGACATTCATTCAGTCATACATCTTTGTGATCTGAGAATCATTTATTTTAATCAATCATTAATGCTTGACATAAACTATTACAACCCAAGTTTCCAAACTAAAAGCTTAAAGTATTTTTATTATTATTATTTTCATTATTATTATATTATAGAACGTTAGTGAAATATTTAAAAAACAAAACGATATTAATGATACAAACTAGTTTGTTATGTCAGTCAAATTGACAATATATTAGATTGGTGCTGGACACGCATAGAATATGCAGTTATTCCAATGGTTCCTCCTTTATATTACATGAACGATTAATCATCTACACGAACAAAATAACAATGACAGTTATCGTCCAATCTGCTTGTAGTTCTTGTAATCTCTTGTATCTTTTTGTTCAACAGGCGGTATGTTTCATGGCCCACTGACCTTCGGAGGGAGAGAGTTTTTGGTGATCTTAAGTGGATCTCTTGACTTGTTCCAAATTGAGATGGTATCCATTTTAGAAAAGGTCAGTGGACTTAAAAAAAAATTAAAAGATTTCATTTATCTGCTTTTTCTTTTCGGCATTTTAACCTTGAAAGCTCGTGAGATACCGAGAAGGTGGTATAGATCACGTTTAATTCTTTAGAAGTTCAGTAGACTGGTTAACTAGGGTCTGAAATTAGATCTATTATCTTGCTAAGTACTTGGCATTGTCACATCCCAACGAATAGGTAACGAGTTGAAATGGAACAATTAGAAAAAGAGGCGCGAACTTAAACAAAACCTTTATTCTCTCGAAATTAGCTCATATAAGAAATGTTTTTGACATTCGTAGAGCCTGGAGGCCCATTATTCGTAATATCCCATTAGACATTTTAATAGATGAGGTTTATCCGGATGGCAAACTTGTTATTACTGGGAAGGAGCGATCATGCCTTCGTTCCTATCGCTCTCGGAGGTAGTATTCTGGGAACCGACTTAACCCTTGAACCGCCAGACCACAAAGGTAAATAACAATCCTTGATTAGTAGGGATGGGCCTGTAAGGCTCCGCAACCGAAATGGGGATTCCGCTATCAGAAAACAAACAGTGCACTCTCCTGTTCGTATCTATCATATAGCGGACTCCGGTTGCCCCCTTAAATCAACAACTTATATAAACACGGTAGATAATTTATAGCGTCGAAAGTATTCTCCCAGTAAAAATAATTCAAATATGGCGCGTGTTTGCCCTTTTTGCATTCCGCTCCTCTATTATAGAAAAAAATGAGCGTTGCAGCGATCTCATCTGACTAGACAGACATCAATGTCTCCAACTAGACACTAATAACTATAATCAGCATGAGAGCAGCATTCTTCCCTAATGGTTTGTTGAAATTTCCACTTAATTGTCGGCGTCGGTATTCGTTGGGCGTTCGTGACAGATTTCCACTATGCTTTCGGGAACCTGTTCTTTTGCAAATAAATTTAAACCCCCAACGAGGATACATTCTGCAGTTTTAAAAATCATTTCGCTATTTTTCCCATGAAATCTCTTAACAGTTATTAACAAGAACTTGTTGCTGCTATTTATCTAACGGTGTTTTAAAGCAGAATCCACGGGAGTGTTTTAAAACTTAATTTATTTAATTACAAAGTTAATTCCAATATCAAAGATCGTATTTTAAATTAATAGGATTTTACATAATTGATAGGTTTAACATTTTTTTCAATGTAAACAGTAGAGGATTTAATATATTTGCCATTTTCCGCGCTTTTAACTCATTAAAAATCAAGAAAACCAATATTTTTAAAGTAATCAATTAATGAAAAGATATAAATCACGTACTTTTGCTATCATGTTGTGATTATAATACATAAATAATCGGCACGATTCAAATGGAATAATAATAGATTAAAATTTTGATTGTACAGTTTCTATTTTTTATTTACTCTTCTAAATTCAAATTCACTAAGTAATTGAATACTTAAATAACCAATCGGATAAGATTCAATTTGCAAACCGGGGTGGTTAGGAATTCTGCCAAGTGTTATATCACACATACGATTTGCACTCAGCATGCCAATGCGATTTGCGGTGGCGTTCGAGGGTCAGAGGTCAATTGGAGAGCTGTCAAGTCGTTAAATAGAATTCTTCTTTTAAAAACGTTTCCTTTAACAGTTATATTTCCGTGAATTGGAAGTTCTATATTTTCTTGAATGCATGCAAACGTAGATTTTTTTTTCTCTTCTACGTGTTTTTCGGGGGATGTGTAATTTTAAAAATACTACCTCCCGGTGCGGGAGATCACATTTCGAACATCAACGTGGGTGAAGTGTCGTCTTCGTTATTTCTACTTGTCACATCCCGCTGTGAAACGGTCGAATAGATTTTGGAAGAGCAGAAGCAGGAATGTCGTCCTCTGACGTGATTCTTTTCTAAATGTGTGCGAAATATGTATTATGTAACTCGTTGACTTAGACAAATTGGTCTTCCCTCTTTTGCTTCTTCGTGTATTAACTTAAGGCATAATTATAGACTAAACATGCGGTTACGTGATTTAAAACCACTAAGCGATTGATGCGAATAATATGCATTTTGAATGTGCGAATTTTAAACGAGGTAATCAAAATGAGAATTCATTTTCACGCCCCATTTTAGAAATAAATCAAGATTAAATTTTTGTAAATAGGAGAACCAAACATGTTCACGTGACAATTGCGCGTGCCTGTTGACGAAATAATTAATCCACACAAGCCTTAATTGTTGCTTGCACTGTTTGTTCTGTTACCAGTTAAATATTATAAAATTATTTAATCAACAGTATACTAAAAATAATTGTATTTTAGATTTAATTGTTATTAAAATTACGAGTATAAAAAGTTCGAAAATTCTATAAATGGAATTACAGGAAAGACTTAAAGAAAGAAAGAAAAAAAAATGTATATATACGGAAGATTCAATCTCGATTCATCAAGAAACTAATTTCACTCAGTGACATTTTCCTCTTCCTACTCGCGTACAAAAATAAACCGTAAAAATAATATTAGAAAGTATGCAGTCGCCATTTGAAATATGTCATGAATACAAATATTTAAAAATATGGCGTGTTATCGCTTAATAAAACGTTTTTAGATCGTTGAGTAAAAGACAAATTGACAGTCGCCTAGAAGCCATAGATGATATCCAGTTCACTCAACAGGAAATTGCTGTCAGCGCTTTCTAACTTCTCTCTGCTCGCCAGATGCTATTACAATCCTTAGGGCGTGCGAAAGAAATGTTTGCTCAGCTGCATGCTTGTCACTGTACCGAAGTATAAACTATCGATTGATACATGCTTTTTATTGCCCGCTACGGTATTTATTCTTTTATTTTTAATTAACATACTTGACACTTCAATCGACCTATGTATTGGAGCTTCACTCTAAAAATCCCTGTTAGGTTCTCGAACTCCATTTCTTATAGAAATTTCCCTGCAGAATCTTTAGTTATTAAATCATTTGGTAACTAAAGATTCTGTAGGGAAATTTCTATTTTATTTTTTCCTTTTAAATCGGGGCTGAATAATATAATAAAATGCAAATTGCTTTTAGAAAATAATCTCTAAACGAGTGTATCAATTTCTATCTATTTAAAATATTATACGCGAAAAAGTTGCAGGATATTTCATATATAAATTTTATTTCTACAAAAATAACTATCTTAAACTATAGTATAAAAATACTACAGAAAGAAATGTTAAATTTTATACAAATAAATACAATTTTAGATAGAAATTTCGTCAAATAATAAGGAAATTTTTTTATAAATGTATAAAGTTTAGGAATTATTTGACATTTGGGGAAAAATTTATTTCGGAGGATATAGTAATGAAACATTTATGTCATACTGAGTGCATGTTTCATTCATAAAAGTTTTATTCTTAAGATATTAATAGGTGCAGCTGTCCGACTAAGGTTACAGCTGTATAATAAAAAAATAAAAGCATGATTAATTCGTTGAGAGCAGCTATACATTCAGTCGCAAGAAATCCCTAAAATTTGACTACCCAAAGTGTAAATCGCTCAACGAAGTTATAAAACGATAAGGATCGAGTTTCTAGTTTAAATCTCGAAACCATAAACGATTTAGGGATTAAGTGGATTATTATTTCGAATTCTCTTCAAAAAATAGTATAAGAAAAATTTAAATAACTGTATTTAAAAAATTTTGTTTTAGTGATTTGGCAACGTGAAATGAAGTCAAGGTTTTCTACTGGATATCGAAAACTTAAGCTTTAAAGGAAAATAATTTAAGCATTAAAATTTATAATAAAAAAAATATAATAATTAATGTGATCGATTATATTATAGAAAAAATTAATTAATTAAAAAAATATTCAGTAGTCGTAAGGAAAGGTTTTAATCTTGATCAGTAAGCGAGGCAGTCACCTGTAACACACCCTGACAAACGCTGTCATTCCCTTCAGACGTTATCTGTCTGAAACAGTATTTTATGACTCGGATGGTGACAATGTGACGAGAGATATTTCCTATCCCGATCATTTCTGTCACTCTTCCTATCTTTATTTATTAGTCGCGAAAAACGAGTGGAATGTGTAATTGGTAGAAACATTCTCCACATTGGAGATAAGTATACAAATCTGTCTGGAATGGAAATTATTTACTTAAAGTGTATGTAAACTGTTATAGAAAATAAACAAGCTTGTTTATTTTTATAGATAATATTTATACGATTTTTAAATGTTTCTGGTTTTCTCCCTCCGTGTACTAACCGGTTATTAACGCTAGAGTCGACGAACATTTCGCTAATGTACTTCTGTCAATGGGAATGATGGAAGATGAAAAATGAGGTTATGCACACAAAGATATGAAAATTGACTGTTTTCAACTGCGACAGTAACTCATTGGGTTTAATGGGTTTCAGTTTACATCCGATTTTTTTTTTCACTTTGCACCCATCAAAATTTCGATTAAACTTCTGAATTTGAATTAAGTTAAAATCTAAATTTGCGCTGGATTTTAAAAAGTAAGATTATTACAAAAAAAATACTACTACTAATCACGCTATCTTCTACTTTTTTTTTTATAGTAAATCGCGTGATTCAATCCTGTAGATAAAGTAATGCTTTCTGTGAATACCCTGATTTTTAAAGATTGGCGATGCGAAGAGCGTTGCAGAGCGATTTAAAGATAAAAAGAAAAAAAAAACTAGAGTAGTTTAAAATTTATAAATTTATATTTATTGTGAATCTATAGGATTCAAAATAGCGTAATTTCAATAAATTTCTTTCAAAAAGATTTTCCGTAGACTAGAAAATCCACATTTGCTTGTCTTTTGTCAACAATAACGAGCTCATCTATCATTTAAACGCTTAAATTTATTAAGAAATATGTTATAATCTAATCAACAAGTTTGATTATTAAGTAATTAAAATTTTCTCGAGGTGTTTCTTTCTATTTTATAACCAAACGTGTTTTTTCATTCCTCCCCTTCCTCTTTAACCCTTTACTACCACAATAAATTATTGTTCTTAATGGTCTCTCTATGTATTTATATCTTCCGAGATATTAAGGTTGACAACGACGATAAATTATGACAAGTTATCTCTCCATTAAGTTGACATATTTATCGTATATTTTTCTTTGTTTTTATGTAACAGCCGTTGACGTCATTTTCTTCTCTACGAACCGAAAAATAAATATATTAAAAAAAAATTAAAAATGACAATAATTTACGATAGGGAGCGCTATTTGAATTTTTGAATTTAAATTTTTGAAAAATTGTTAATTCTAATTTTTTCCGATAGGGGCGGTGTGAGATTTGGAGAGCGGTTTTGCATCATCAGATAAGATAAGAAATCTGTAAATGCTTTCTGCCTACAAGTTGGGCAGGTCTGCGATCTCAACCGGTTTGTTGAAAGATAGAAAGCGAATTGTTGTACCAAACGATATCCGTTCTCTTCAACAATTTAAGCTAGTCTCGTAAACGTTCCATTGTTCTCTATTCTCCGCCTACTCTTGTAATACATCTTCTAGCTTTTACACCATTAAAAAATACTGATAGCTTTCTAAAGTTTTAGATCTATTTTTACTATTTTAAATAAACAGAAAGGCCACGTTTAACCGACAAACTTAACCTCTCCTGTATAAATTTTTGAATGTATTAAACGAGTCCGCTAAGATCTAAATCGATTTATCATTTCTTAAATGATTAAAGTCACTAAAATTATTTTATATATTGTATATTTTATACAACAAGAGAAATTTAAGTGAATAACAATACTTATAAACTATTATATAAGTTACTTCATATTTACGCGCGCCGCGAATATTTAAAAAGTAATATAGAGATTTTTATGTCGGAAAAAGATAATAAATATTTAAAAATTATACAAAACATGAATTTTTACTAATTTCAATAATAATTACAACATAAAAAAAAATTAACAAATCACTTGAAATTATAAAATCGGAACAATAAACATAGTCGATTCATCAACATAAAAAAAGCTATTTAACAAACTCGATTTAAACAATATTAATATACAAAATACAGTATTTACAAATATTTACATATAAAACGTCTGTCAATCTTTTACAGATTGGTATTGTTTGTCGATAGTCTTCTTTTCCTTTCTTTTTTATATGTCAATGGTGCCCTGTAATTAGTTCAAACTGCGGTTTCATTACCGGGCTTTCTTTGATGCCTCTTGGAATTCTCTTGAATAATTAGATATCTCTGACATATCTTATTATTTGCTACTAATTGGGAATTTGAAGATTTTTGAAATTTAAACCTTTTTTTCATATTATTCCATGTGCATATTGGCGATTTACTCGACCATATCCACAAGCCGGTAGTGATACCGATGATGAAAGACATAAATATTTTAAGAGTGAACACTTCAAATTTAAGTTTAAGAGGAGTTTTAGCGGTTAACCACTGATCTCTTAATGAATATTCGTATAAATTTGCTGCTAACACACAAGAGGCCGGGATGATGTATAACAGAGCAAATATACCTATACGTATCTTGAGCTTCTTCCTCTTGTTGAACGACTGGTTCGGCACCCTTTTCATCCTATAAATGACGATGACACCCGCAATTAGAAACATAGTACCAATGAAGAGATATATAAGATTAGGAGCGATAACAAAGCCTAACAGTGCTTGATTGTTTCTATTTCCAACATAGCATATGCCTGTAAGTTCGTCAGCATCTACTAGACGCAGCACCAATATGGCAATAGTTTTAGCAGCTGGCAGAAACCACGCTGCCAAGTGGAAGAATGTGTAATATTGCTGAATTTTATCCTGAGTCCAACCAAGGCCTTCTGAAAGATACCATGTGATAGTTAATATGACCCACCATATCATACTAGCCATGCCGAAGTAATAAAGCAGCATAAAAACGATGGTGCAGTATATATTGTCTAAACTCTCTACAGTTAGCAAGGTAACATTGTGTTGACTGTCTCTACTACAGGCCACGGCAGTCCTACCTAAATTAATCCGTATAATGTACGCAATGCTATAAACATTATACGTAATACTCAAGATGATGATGGCGAATTCAGGATATTTATAGCTGCATCTATCAACCACAAAGGTGATGGCTGTGAAGAGAGTTGAAATGAAACAAAACACGGCCCAAACAGTTATCCAAATTTCTACGAAATTCTTATCTTCTTGGTTAAACAGGACATCGGCTGTGCAGAGTTGAGAACATTGACTCGTACGATTAACGTAATAGAATACATCCGATTTCCTGTAACCATTGCATAAACCGAAATGTCTCTTGTTGGCATTTTTACGCTCAATTGTTGACACTTTAGTTTCTTTAGTTCGACCCACATAAGGCTCCTTCTCTAATTCGTCAGGTTCCGGACCTTCCATACACATATGCTTCTCATTATTTTCGGGTGGGAAGTTGTTACACGACAATCCGGACGGCCAAGGAAATCCGAATTCCTGTAAGACAGGTTGACATCTCGATTTAACTGCTTTACACAACGACCGACACGGTCCGATGGGTTGTGCCACTTTCTCTGTACACATCGGGACGTACACAGAACACAAAAAGAATTTTAACCTGGAAGAACAGCCGTATTGTATCAGAGGACGAAACGTTTGCAGCTGTAGTTGGGCATCTTGTTGTAGGTCGTGTCCGACTAAATTAGGCATCCCCGTTACGTTGTAACCGATATCTTTACATGTTTCTATCCATATCGGCTCGCACGTTCTTTGCATTTCGAGACAGTTTACACTCACCACGTAAAGCGCGATGCCGACAATCCATCTCCTCGTTGCCATGTTGACTGCCACTTACCTATAGAGTGCCTCCGAGTCACTCTCCAAGTTTTGACTCATCCGCTTCCTCACCTGGTTAAAGTTGTCGACACTCGACCAATAAGAGCAAACGTTAAGCTTTCGTACCACGCCTTCTCAGACGGTTGTTATAGGCGACCGGATTGGTCGAGGTTAACAAGGGTTGATGTATCAGATTTTCTAAGGAGATTCATCATGTTGACAGGCAGGCAAAAGTTGCTTAACTACCATCCGTGCACGGTCTAATGTTTATGTTTTCTTTTGCAGGAAAATGTATTCAAAATACAAAACAGTGCAAGAAGATTGCTTTGATAGTTCTGCATAACAGATACAAAATACGAATTTCTAAGAATAATTTAAACAAATAATTTTAACATGACATTGATTTATATATTATAAATTCGAGCGTTTTCGTAATGTCACAACAGAATAAATAAATAAATTAATAGAAATCTGTTATTTCACAGTATTTATATAAAATCCTTGTTGNCATGAAAGTAAGTCATTTTTATTAAGAAGAAAATATATAATTGCAAGTATTTTGATTATTTACTATAATTTTATAGCTGAAAGAATAACATAATTATTATCATCAGTTTTAATTTGGAAACATTTTGTTTAAATACTAATTTTCCATGCATCAATCTGTGAACATTCTATATAACTGAAAAATGTCTAGTGAAAATTAAAGCTATATTGCAATAGACAATAACAAGGTTAAAATATAGAAAACAACTATCTAGTCTGCTTGAAGGATTAAGAAGGAACTTTCTTGCTTGAAGTAAAGATTGAATAGTGCAAAAAATTCCTTCATAAATTTGAAAATAATTCAGTTTAGGTTAGCAAAGAATATGTATCATGAATAAAATTTTAAATTTATATGAAGCCAATTAGAAAAAAATCTTAAAGAAGAAAAGATACCTAAAGAAAGCTTATTTGTTTCTATCTTGAAACTATTTTCACAAATTAAAGACACAAATAGTTTATGCAAATATTTCCAAGTTGCTTAGATTTTCCTTAAGTAATTAATCAAAATGCAATTGAAGTTTGAAAAATAAATACCATAGAATATATGCTCACTTATTATGGAATGAAAATTTAAGAGGAATTAGTTATAAGAATCATGAAGAATATCTTTAAAAAATGTAGTATTGAAAAGAAAAATATTCATTAAAACTGTAATTGTACACTGGAAGTTCTAATTACATAAAGAAAAGACTTGATTATTTCTAAATATGATCATTCTTTTTTGATTGGGCTGCAATTTGAAAAAATTGTAGATCTATAAATTCCCACTGTTGTATGTCTGTCCATCCATTCATCTCTCTCCTTAGTCTAGAGAACAGAGTTAGTTAGATGAAAGATGAGATCAGATATGGAAACCTTAGAGGCATGAGGCCCCAACTAACTATATATGAATTTCCAATGCAAATCAGAAGTCATGTTATTTCAATTCAGAAATTTTCCCCTGAAAAGTGTTAGAACAGTGACTGGCATGACTCTATTGTTAAAGGAAAAGTATGATTTAAAGGGGAAAGACACTATATTACAAATTTGAGGTGAAGAGCATATATTTTAAATGAAATAAATTAAAAATATGATTAAAAATTGCAGCTTGGCATTGTAACTGCCACAATAAATAAGTGCTCATTGTTATTGTTTTATACGCAAAGCTACAAAGCAGTTATAGAAAAGATATTGCAGAAATCAATAAAACTACAGTAGAACCTCAAATGAGGTTTTGCATTATCTAAGTCAAACCTGTATTGAGTACACTATTTTTCTTATAATCAGCTTTGCAATAAAATCTTTGCAATGAATGCATCAAGCTTGTAAATAATGTATTTCTTTTAACCTTGACTGGACTGAGTGACTAACTGATGCTGAGGTGCTTTTATTTAAAAATATTTCTGTCCTGTGAATACTAAATAGGTTTTTTCCCCATGCCCATTGTGGATTTAGCCAGACCTGCAATGGAGCAGGCTGTGAATGGGTGAGGGATGGAATGATGTCCTATGTATCTGGGACTGACCATCCATGAAAAATGATGTTGAAATGACTTGGAATATTGTGGCAAAGAAAAAAGATCCATTATGAAGAAAAACTATAAAGAACATTTTAAAGAAAGTTTAAAATGATAACATGTATTACAAAATGATTTGTTTCAGTTACCTTTTACTGTTTAACTTCAATATGAGACAATCCATTCATATTAAAATGTAATGTAATAATACACATTTTCATTCTTAAAACTATTGTACATATTTGTATAATAAATGATGTAAAAAATGTTCTTATGTATGATTAAGTTCACTAAGGTTTAAAAAAAAATGACTTAAAAAGTGATACCATATATATCTTTATTTGTAATTTTAAATCTAAATTGTTTGTCTGTTTTATCTAAGTTTTCAGTTATCTGAGGTAATGTGAACCTTGGATAATTTAGGGTTTTACTGTCTTTAATCATAAGGCAATAACTTTTGATCAAATATCAAATAAATATTTCTTTGTGAAATCTTGTTGTTATCATTGAGATCATATTATGTTTATGGCATTATGACAAAAATGCATTTCTGTAATATTTATTTATTTTATGGAAAGTGTTATATAGCTTTAATATGTACAGTACCTAGTAATTTTAAATTACCTATTCCATTTAACATTGATGTCATTCTTAGCATGAAAATTTGACACAATTGTACTCAATATACAAGTAGGAACATATTTACATGTCTAACAATCTCCACTTTTTGGAACAGTATATGAAATAATAGTGTAATATATGATTATAAAATTGGAAACAATCGAATGTTAAATATATTTAGTAAAGATTAACAAATAAAGATTATTTTGCTATTTTCTTTACCGAGAAACATTTTGTACTTTTTACATATTGATGTCTTAATTAAAAAGTTGATGCAATCAATATTTTTATGTTCTATGAATTGCTTAAGAAGATAACAATGTATTATCATCAATTTTATAAATTGTATATCAAGCTCAGCTTCCTTTTAAAACACTTAATAAAACATTTAACACCTTATAGTGCTGAGAATATTTATTNTTTCTCTTAAAAAAAATGTACAGAATAAAAAAAATATATCTTAGATTTCTAATACATATTTTAAACAATGAAATTGTCTTGTATTAGCATTGTTATATGACGTCATTGATGACATCATTGTAAAGTACATGTTTCTCGCTCAAGTGCACATGTACTATAGCGGTGCAAACAAAGTTTTGCATCATGTATTGGTTACATGCTTGATCTTTATATTCATTCTACCTTTTACACTGACATAATGCCTGGATGCTATGCCCCAGATTGTAATCATGTTTCTTTGAGAGACAGTTGTCGGTTTTTTACATTTCCTAAAGACGAAGCTAAATTTAACGATTGGGCGAAAATCTGCAGGTTTGCATCTTTTTATTATATCAGTTAATTTAGAAGCTTCTATTATTATTTAAATAAAAATGTTTTTAAAATGTATAAATCTCTCTCACTCTCTCTGTGTGTGTGTGTGTGTTTATAAGTACACAATTTAAATTGCATCCATCCCTTTATTCAGTTTTAAGTACAATGTTTTATATCAAGAAGACAATAAATTTGTTTTAATTGTAATAAAATATTTAATATCGAAGCAATTAACATTCTATGTTTTAATTTAATTTTGAATTTTCATTGTTTTCATTCCATTGTAATGATTATTTTTCAATTAATATTATGTCAGAGCAAAGTAAAACAAGTAAAAAAAATTTTATAATAAGGAAAATAAGTCATAATTAAATATAAATTTTCATATTTATATTTAACTAATTATGGATATTTTCAACATTTACTAGAAATTACACGTTCTATTTCTATGATATTGACTTTTGACAATTTTCTAGCATTTTTTCACACTAAACTTAAAACGTATGCAAGAAAAGTAAGAAATGTATAGTAAAAACTTCATAGTATGTTTTCCATGTTTAGAATATAATGCATATGCTAAGATGGTTTAAAAATAGACAAAAATTTCTATGAATGCAAAACAAATCATTTTATTTTTAAACAGAAAATTAAGATGATGAGTTTTCCATAAGATGCTAGATAAATTTATTTAAAGTATCTTTCTGTTACATCCAAAACTTTGAGACAGTAATTTTCATTGTTGTTTTAATGAAAATTACATGAGAAATGAATGAAACTTGGCAACATATTTTACCTATTATTTATAATTCCTTATTTTTGGCTTTGTAAAGAAGCAGTTTAAGTTTACTTTTTAATTTTAATTATAAAACATCAAAATTGAGAATTTTCTATTATGTAATACATTTTCTTTTATTTGGTTTCTTGATTGACTAGAAATATAAGCCAATTACTTAATGTTTTGGAGACATGGATATTTAAACATTGTTTTTGTCAATGGTTGATTATACATATCCAGTAAATTTGTAAAAAATATTGCTGTTATTCAAAAGAATAAGATATGAAAAGAAGAGCAAATAACTTTATATTTCTGAATATGGATAATATGAACTGATTACATTAAAGTTTGTATATCTGAGTTACATTAAAAGTTTGATTTATAGCTATTTTTTGAATCAAGAAACCAAAAGTAAATAATATATTAGTTTTGTAGTGAAAGTATTATTTTATTAATTTTTTTCTTTGTTTTTATAGACGTGGTGATCGTCCTCCCAATAAAAATGATCGCTTGTGTAGTTGTCATTTTAAAGATGGAATAAAAGATAATGGCCCTACTATATTCAATAGAAATAAAAATGAATTGAATATAATTGCTTCCAAACAACAAAGGTAAGAAACTAAATTTTATGCTTAGTTTTTGAATTTATACAGTTATAAAATATTCAGCTAAAGTGGCAATTAGCATTTTATCTTTATTTATTAAATCTTGAAATTTAGATGTTTTTTCCTAATTATACCATATTTCTGTAAAGTTGCATAAACATAAGTATTTAGTTAAATAAATATATGCTACATGAATAAGATCTGAATAAAGTTTGTATATGTAAATTTTTATTCTGACATGTACATTTAAAGAATTAAAAATTAAAAATATATGTACACTCATTGGCAAAGAAGTTTCACATCCAGATAGAATTATCTGATTACTGCAAAACTCAGTGAGAGAGACCAGACCTGATGAATTTTGAGAGAAAATTCATTTTTTGTCTTTCAAAAAACTTTTTTTCATTTTTATTACCAGAGAATGATCGCATCTCTTTCTTCGGAGTCGTTTCTTTTCCCACGGAACTCATTGAACGTGTCACTGGGAACTAAGAGCAAAAACTCCCAATTGGTGAAAAGGGATAACATGATTTGGAGGTAAAAGGAGTGACTCAAGGACAAGGGGTCTTTGAGAGTTCACGAGAGCATCAATCAAGTGCCCTGAAAAACCCAAGAAGTATTATATCCAGGATTTCATACTCTGTGTTGGTGGACACATTCAAACTCTCCGGATTATTTTATCCTTCCATTTCCCTTGGTTTGATTGCTGTCCTAAGAAATGAAAAATTAACGCCTTCCCAACCACTCCAACTGACTGACTGACAACAACCGATTAACATCCAAACAAGTCAGTGATTCGGAATCTGCACTATTAAGTGCATTAAAGGTATATATATCAACTTGCAGTTTCTTGTAAACTCTCTCTATCTCGAGTGTTATAACATAGCACAGCTATGTATCAGACAGGTATAGAAATGATTACAGTTATGGTCTGATTGCATGTCTGTTAATGCCACTGGAGTGCCTTAAAGTTGCTACCTTAGTAACATATAAAGGCTTGCAGAGGTGTTTCCTGAAAATTCTCCAAATAACAGGTACACTGAAAGAATACTCCAAATAACAGGTACACTGAAAATTCTGAACACAGTTCAGAATTTTCAGTGTACCTGTTATTTGGAGTCTTGGAGTGCAAGGTGTATTTGTGGAATGCAGTAGAAGCCAATGGAGAAAGGCTACATCATTGGAAAGCAGGATGGTCATTTTACTGAATTATCTGCCATCTGGCCCATTCTAATTTGACAAGAATGTTGGAGGGCAATGGATGTGTGAGAGCATACATACAGCTATGCTCTGAATATCTCAGATAGACCACCAATCCATCATCTGGAGACAAGTGTAAATCTACACAATTCTGTCTTTTACACCAATTGCAAGTGACTAGAATAGGTAAATTTTCACTTCAATTCTGTCTTTACTGTTGAACAACAATATTGCTCCCACTACTGACATGCTGGTCTGGGAAGCCACCTCATAACACAGTTGATCACCCTTTGTAAATGTCTAACTGACATTGATAGCACATTTAGGAAATCCTACACCTTGTGTGTGACTTTTTATGGCAAGACTGTAAACAACCATTTTCAAGCAAGATAATGCTTGAGCACACAGTAAAGTTTTCCAGAAATATCTTTGTCACATTGTCACACTTCTTGGTCCTGGCCACTCCAAATTTGTTGCCCATTGAGCATTTGTGGAACCAGATGGGATACCAGTTTTTGCTATATACTAGTATGGGGGATCTGGAGTGGCAATTGTAATATCTGTGAGCAAATATGTTTAAGAATAGCATATGGTACCTGTATGCCTGCATATCTGACCATACCATATTCTGCATGTATCCAGGCAAGAGGAGGTCTTACAAGGTACTAAAGGTTCCTTTAAGTTATGCTGGTGTTGCATAGGAAATTCTCTTTGCTATGTTATTGTAATCACCTATTACAATTGTCATTACATTCACATTAATATCTTCATTTGATCCAACACCTCCTCCTTGGTGTGCAGCTGTTTTGTCGATGAGTGTATATTAAGATGTGTGAACTTATTTTTAAATAAAATCTTTTATTTGAGTATTTTTAATGGCAGTGATAAAACTTAAGTATTATTGTATTATAATACTAGCAAGTCTATTTAATTTACTTTCTTGAAATTGCTTCATGTCTAGTTATATTACAAATTTTATTAGAGATCTTAAATACTAGTGTAATAAGTCTAGTATTTAAAGCAGATAATAATAATAGCCCACAATAGAACTTGATTTACTTTTTATTTAAAATTACTCTTGTTAGATTGTTTAAAATAGCATTTTCACAACAAATTTGAATAAAAATATAAATTTGGATTTATATTGTTTGAAACTTTATAGTAATTTTTATTATTGGTGCATAATTTTGCTTCTGCATATTAAATAATTCAGTACTTTATTGAAGTTCATCAGTCATGGTAGAAGGAATATCAGCTATCAAAAATTAAATTGTGAAAGTAACATTTAATTTAAATACGAGGGTGGTTTTTTCAAACTCCAATGGTCCATAAAACAAAGACAAGTGTAAATAACAAAATGAATTTATTACCAAAAGTTAGGTACAAACATTGTTACATAATCACAGTGAAGATTGAGGCATTTGTCATATCTGTGGATGAGCTTTTCCATCCCCTTGTCATAGAATGTTGCCACCAGTGAATTGATATGGCCTTAACAATGTTGTTTTGAAGATCATCAGTAGTCTCAAACTGCTACCCTGCTAGCCACATTTTCAGTTCAAGAAAGAGATGAAAGTCTTCACACATTAAAAAGTTCCAAGCTTGATGGAAGTCTGAAAGGAGGAAGTCTTCACCATCTTTAAACATCTAGCATATAGCCCCAATTTAGCACCGAGTGACTTCCACCTCTTTCCTGAACAGAAAAAGTGGCTAGGAGGGCAGAGGTTCGAGACTAATGACAATCTTCAAAACAACATTAGGGTCCATCTCAAGCCATTGGTGGCAACATTCTATGAAAAGGGGGTGGAAAAAGTTGTCCACACATATGATAAATGCCTCAATCTTCACTGTGATTATGTCAAAAAGTAATGATGTTGTACCTAACTTTGGTAATAAATTCATTTTATTTACACTTGTATTTTTTTAATGGACCATTGGAGCTTGAAAAAAAAACAGCCTACGTATCTAATTGAAACATATAAGATGTTATTTTGAGCTTAAATTTAGAATTTCTATATAATTTTAAATAATAAAATTTAATTTATATATTAAAAAATTATTTCCAGTGTACAATATTTTAAATTTAAAGTATTGTGAGTTTTTACTACTGAGATAAGAAAAATAAAACAAACAATAGTTTCATGTTAGCATCAATTCCTGGAATTGCCTTAAGGGTTAATGTTAGTCAGTTCTTGACCTCATAATAAGTAAATTACATAATACTCAATAAGTGTTACATAATTTTGGCTTCAAAGAAAGTTGTATTGCTAAGTAAAGTTGTAATATTAAACAGTATATTTCATTTAAGACTACAATTAATTTTCAATAAATGCAAAAAATTTTCAGTGCAATAAATGATAAATTTTTAGGAATCTTGTACTTTTCAGCCAATTGAGAATATGAAGAATCATCAGAATTTTCCATTATCTATTGCTTACTTTTTTGAATATAATGCAAAAGATAATACTTATTTAGATTTTAACTTTTTAAAACAAAAATCCTTAATATGGCTATACAATTTAAGAACAGAGTTTTTCATATAATATGTATGTTTTCAGATAAAATTTTTTTAAACCTCTTGAAAGTATTTTGAAATTCTGAGTACAGAAATTGGTGAAATTTGTTTATACTTTTTTGAAACTTTCTGAAAGCAATAATGATAATTATGGCAGGTAAGCAGAAGAGATGGTGGCATTAATCAATAGTATATCTTATTTGTACTTTGTACTATAAAAAAGTTAATTAGGAATTCTGTTAAATGGAATTTAGTGTAAACTAAAATCTAGGTTTTTATCGAGATATCAAAAACTTGGGATACTAACCAATAGGTGGCACTAATGAGAGTTCAGTGTATTTACAAATTTTTTCTTATTAAAGTAATGACCATATTTCTACCCATACATTTTGCAGAGAACTATTTATAATTTATATTCTGCTTCAACTATGTTTAGAAAAAATCTTTTGTTTGTAAGCAAAAAATCTTACTCAGAAAATCTTTTCAAATTTTACAGAGACTACTAGGAGCAAAATTTGATTTTTTTACAGAATAATCATCCATTTCAAGAAATATTTAGACTTTGCAATGATTCCAGAATACATACAATGTAGAAAAACAAATACTCAGAGTGTAATAATATAAGGGGTGTTCAATAAATAACCAGCTGATGAGCACAGCTCTAAGCAGAAAATTTGCATGCAAATGTGCAGTGCACCAAAATAACACCCCCATATAAGGTGAACATCCATAGCCGCAATCATTTGTTAGAGTGATTTTGTTGGACAATGGAAGCCTCCAAAGTTGAACAACATGGAATAATCAGGTTTCTTGTTGTAGAAGGTTGCAGACCCATTGTAATTCATTGGTGAATGCATCAGGTGTATGGTCCATACACCCTAAGTCTTGCCCAGATGAAGGTGTAGCCCAAAAAATTTCGGGAAGGACTTTCAAGTGTGAAAGACAACCAATGACCAGGATGTCTGCAGCATGCAGTCACACCACAGAAGTGCAAATGGTAGAAGACTTGGTGCTAACGAACAGACGGTTAACAGTTCATGACATTGCATCTGCAGTAGACCTGAGTGTTGATATTGTGCATGGTGTTGTGCACAAAATGTTGCATTTCAGGAAGGTGTGTGCACAGTGGTGCCATATTCACTCACTGAAGAACAAACCAGCAACCGGATGAGCTTGTCATTGGAGCATCTAACATGCTTTGCTTCACATGGTAATGGTTTTTCTTCATCGCATTGTGATGGGAGATGAGACATGGTGTTTCCATTACAATCTGGAGCCAAAATGTACCAGCATTCAGTGGAGACACCTACATTTACCTCTACCCAAAGAGAGCAAAAGTGTGCAACCATCAGCAGGGAAGGTGACATTCACCCTGTTTTTTGAGCATCAGGGGCCTCTGCTTGTTCAATTTATGCTGCATGGCAGCACCATCAATGCAACATCCTACTGCAATACCTTGCATGCATTACACACACAAATTCAATGCAGGCATCCAGGAAAACTCTAGAATGGGGTCATCTTGCTATATGACAATGCACGTCCTCACACAGCCAACATGACAAAGGACCTGCTACAGCAGTTTTATTGGGAGGTACTTGAGCACCCTCCCTATAGTCCTGACCTGTTACTTTGCAACTTCCATGTTTTTGGGGAACTCAAAAGGAAACTTAAAGGCAGATGATTTTCCTCAGACACTGAAGTGCAAGATGCTGTCCAACATTGGATCTGCCAGTGTCTTTCTATCTTCTTTGAACGGGGCATAACTTGGCTGGTGTCACAATGGGATAAGTGCCTTAACAATCAGGTCAATTATTGTTGAAATAAATTGTTTATATTTTATGCCATTGCATTTGGCTAGTTATTTATTGAACATCCCTCATAAATAGTAATAGAATATATAGTAACAGAAAAAATTTTATTTGCCCTACTTTATAAACTTCATGAAAGCATGAAATCAATGTTCCATTCACATGCAAATTATTAAAGTTGAAGTAATTTAAGTATTTTTTGCTAATTAAAAAATGATTTAATATATAATTTCTTTTAATGTAGAAAAAAAACTTATACAGAGGAATTGTCAGAAGAAATAATATATAAAGAAGTATCTATAGAAGTTCCATTAAGAGGTATGATATTTCAAAAATTAAAATATCAAATGCAATTTTTGATTTTCTATTGAAGTTATAATGTAAAATAAATTTCTAAAAATAAATTTATTCATAAACTAAGTACAAACATCTGATCAATTTAGAAATAAACTATGAGTTAATTTATGTGTAAAGATGAGATGTTCAAAATTATTTTTTACTGCTGATTGTATGTTGTACAGAAGATAAAAACAATTTGGATTTTCAGCCTATAAAGGCCTATAATTCAAACTTTTATAGTTTGAATTATAGTCCTTTATAGATTGAATTAAGGTATGAAAAATGTTCAAATTATAAATTTACAAAGACTGAAAATTTAAATTATTTTTGCATTTTATGATAAGCATAACAATAGTTTAGTTGAATATCTTGAGATAATAATTGAAATTCTATTTTGCATCTTATAAAAGAAGCAAAATTTACTGCATTACTAACAATTATTTTTTAGCATAAGTTATGATAAAAAAAAGATTGTCGTTAATAATTTTGTCAAGATAATTCAACTTTTATTATTTCTTCTTGTATATTATTATATGTATTTGAGCAGGCAATACTGACAGTTGTCTGGGATGCAAAATTACAGTAGGCACCTTTTTGTCAAAGAACTCTTTCTCAATGTATCATACATGGTAAAAAGTTTTTGATGAAATACATAATCCAGCCTATATCAGTAAAACCTAAAAATGTAGCTCTTCTTATTGTCTATCACCTTGCCTTACTTTTTCGTACCCATGTCTATCATTTCCTTCAGTCAATGTTTTTGGGCTGCAATTTTCAAAAATTGTAGATTTACAACTTCCATTGGTGTTTGTCTGTTTATCCTTCCTTAACTATATACAAACTTCTACTTTGGACTGGAAGTCATGTTATTTCAATTCAAAAATTTTCTCCTGAACACAGATAGATGACTGACATGATTCCATAGTTAACAAGAAAAGTATAATGTACAGTACAGGGGCAAGACACTAATAAAATTGAGAACATTGTGATGAAAAATTACAACCTGATATTGTGACAATGTCATAATAAATAATTGCTTGTTAATTATTCATTTATCTTTCTTAATTGTTTTCTCATTGTAGTAAATTTAATATTTGACAAAATAAATGCATTCTTTAGTTAACTAAATTTTACACAAAAATGACAACATAAAACTTTGACATATCAATTGTTGTAATTTTTCTGTAGAGTAGAGAGATAAAAATTAACATTGTTAACATTGCAAAATAATAAACACTCATTCATAACTGCAGATAGAAAATGAACTCATAGAGAGGCAATCTCAGAAAATTTCATTTCTCAGAAACAGGCAAATATTTTAGAACTTGCCTGTTGCCTGGTTATATTCAATATTAAGAAGAGAGAATTTTTTCACTAGCAAAAATTTATTTTATTTACTTTATTTTAAGAACATGAAAAGGTTGTCTCTTCCAATATCTTAACTTCAAAAAATACTGTGTCAACATCAGTGTTACAAAACCAACATAACTCAACAAACATTAACTTTGGTAGAAGCATTTTTGACTTTTTGGTTTAAAAAAGAGTCACTCAAATTAAATAGATGGCACTATATTCAGATTCTGGGGCCTATTTAGAATGTTTACAGTATTTAAGTGAAAACAATTTAGAAATATTATTGACAAACTTATACATAACTCTAAAAATTTTATTGATAATACCAGTAATTGTTGTTACAAACATAATTTTTGTAAATTGAAACTAATGAAACTTATGAAGACCACTTTGTCAAACAAAATTTTAAATAAAGTCAGTTTCATTTTAGCATAAACTGGCTTTATTGTTAGTTTCACTTCAGCGTATTTGGTAGAATATTATATCAATTCATTTTATGATTGATATTAAAATTTTATTGATATCAAATATAAAATTCAATATAAATTAACTTCCGAGCTTTCTTTGAAATAATACATGTACTAAATAATTATTTGTATTCATGTTAAAAACTTTTCATTGAATTGAGCACAAGAATTCAATATATTAATTAATAAGACACCAACCGAATGCCGTAAATTAATCGGGCTATTTTAATGCTAAATTCTAAATAAATTACGTAATTAATTTGGCACTAGAGGTAAGCGTTATGCGCCATCTCTTATTAAAATTAATAATTATAAATATATTAATTAATTTAAATAATTTGNAAAGTAACTCAGAATTATAATAACAGTCATTTATCACAATCAAAATCTATAATAAAATCAAACCGCAAATATTTAAATGTAAAAATATATATATTTATGTTAATAACATCTTAGGCGTAAAGAAGAGTTTAAAAGAAACAAAGTGTACTTTAAAGAGAGAACAAAAGTATAGAAATGATTTCGTGTGTGTGTGTATATATATAGGAATGTAGGACTATGACATTTTAGTTATAACAATAAAACAAAATGGAAGATAAAGAAAGAAAAATACAAAAACCAACATTTATAAAATACACATGTATGGATCACGCAACATCTGCCTGTGGGCCCTGCTTGATCATGTCTGCAATTTTCTTTCAGACATGGAGTGCTGAGTAAATACGAGGATAAAACATGTTATCATATCTTTCTTGACACTCTAATTATAAGTCTCCATTCTGCTCTACTGGCTCACCGTTCAAGCCCCTCTAACTATAGACTCTTTGCTGGACCGTCCACTTTTTTTTTTTTTTTTAACCTTTTTCTCTTTTTTTTTAAGTTTTATCCCCCATGTGCCATCTATTGCCTAATTTCAGTAATATTTACAAAATTATTACAATCTTTCCTACAATATTTAATATATTGAAATACAAGTATGTAATAAATTTGATTGAAAAATGATTTCTGTAGTTAAAACAAATGAATTTTTAATTAAAAAAATATANGGGGAAAAAATATATTGATAATGATTTTGTGACATAAACATTTTCTAATTTATAAAAAAAAATCAGCATATTTCAATCTATACAGTGGTGCAAAAAATGATTCAACATTTGATTTATTACTAAATATTCTATCACACTATGAATAAAGTTTTTTGTTATGGTAATATTTACACTAGATCGTGGAGATTAATTTCTACTCTTCCTGAATTTATTAGTGTAATGTTCACTAGCATACTAATATAATGTTCTTGAGCATGTGCTAGTTTATAAACCATGGCAGACAAAGGAAAATTGACTGTAGAAGAACAACACAAAAACAGTATTATTTTTTAATGAAATAAGTGTCATGGATAGTAGAGGCAATTTCAAACCTGCACTTTCCTGTAATACAAAATAATACAAACTTTATAAACAGTTTAATGATTATGGTCCAGTATTGGATATAAAATATAATCACCTGTATCTGTGTGTACACTGAAGAATATTGATGCTATCAGAGTGGTGCTACAAACGAGTCCCAGTAAATCAGAGCTGGGAAGTTTGCAGTTTTTTCCCTGACTTTTACTCTGGAGTTGATATTTTCCACTTGCCAATTCTGACACTGACTCCTTAGTATTTATTTATATTATCTACCATTTCATCACTGACATGTAATTCTTTAGACTAATTTACTAAATAGCTATACACTGGTGGTCTAATGATGATTAGAAGATTGCAGCTATGATTTTTTTTACACTATTCAAAAGATTAAAAAATTAAAAAAAAATTGCAATATGATAAAAAGGCACAAAAGCTCATTAGAAAGTAAAGATACTAAATGAAAACTATCTATTTATACTGTTTTTAAAATCAGCATTAGTCAACAGATTTTTTCCTAACTAATCACAACAAAAAATTAAAATATTGGAAAGAATTAATTTTCAAATTCAAGTTCACATATGTTTGACTGGCAAATTCAACTACAGTATAATCGAAAACATAATTTCAATTTTCAAATGTTAAATGAGCGGGAATCCAAGAAAATCTGTTAGAAATGGTTTAACTTCAATAACTTAAGTTAAATAAGAAATAAATGCAATTTGTTGACACTTCCAAAGTTCATTAGCATTGGGTCATGAGATTGATTAACTTCTTTATATTCATATGATTCTTTTAAACTTCTATACTTAAAATTATGAAATATAGAATCAGTTAAGGAGTCAATCAGCACATTTTTTGCTAACACTGACACTAACTCCCCAATAAATCAACAAGGAAGGCTGCAGCAGAATTAGGGATATCCAGAATTAGGGATAGTACAATGAATATTGAAAAGTGTCTTAAAGTTGTATTCATACAAAACTTTTGTATTGCCTAAACTTACATTTCAAAACAAAGATTAAAGAAAGGCATTTATTGAGTGGACTCAGAATAATGAGGTAATGATAAGTAAAGTTTGATTTTCTGATGAAGCACATTTTCACTTGGATGATGTGGTTAATAAACAAAATGTCTGATTTTGTTCATTCAGGTTTGTAAAAAGAGAACTAAGGATATGTGCCATCAAGTGAACAACAATTTGTGTTGAAGTTGTTGCATGTAATGGTCTTTCTTTTTATAGTTTATTTAAATTGCAATAGCAGAAAGTAAAGATTTTATTAATAAAACAAATGTTGAATTATTTTATGCACACCCTATATAATAGCTAATTCTGATAATTAAGAACTTATAAACTTTTTGATAGAAAATTATTTTAAAAATTTGAATCACAAATATTGCTGGAATGAGTAGAATAGATAAGGATGAGCAGATTTACAGGGTATGTAGGGTGCAGGTGTTCCACATTTCTGGGATTTCCTTGAGCAAAGCTAGGTATCTCAGGTAATAAAACATTTTGCAAGACATATTTCCTTCCTATACCCCCTGATTTCTGGATCTACTGTTGGCTAAAGATATAATTTAATAAAACAAAATCCTGAATATTTTTTACACAGAAGCAGATGCTTTTAATTATATATTTTCAATAAGCATAAAATTTTGAAAAAAGAAAAAAAATATTAAAAAACATGCATTTAAAGAACTTTTAAGATATTTTCAAACAAATAACTTTTAATTTTTAGAGAGATTTTTAAAT